CCATTCACCGTACTGACGGACCATCGTCCGCTCACCTTCGCGGCHAACCAACCCTCGGACAAGGCCTCACCACGTCAACAACGTCAGCTGGACTTCCTGCTCCAGTTCGACATCACGTTCCAACACGTGGACGGCGCAGACAACGTCGTCGCCGATGCTCTCTCCCGGACGACGGAGGACGCTCCAGCTCCGGATGGGTCAACAAGCGCCACTACGTCATCGCCGACGCCGCCAACCTCAACCTGCGCCACCATCAGCCTACCTTCGGCACTTAGCCCAGAGGCCATCGCCGCAGCACAGGACAGAGACGACGAGCTCCCAGCGCTCGCAGCACGCACCTCACTCAACCTTCAGCGACTCAACGTCGAAGGATTCGAGGTGACCTGCGACATACACGACRGGCGAGTACGGCCATACCTACCCCGCTCGCTCCGCATAGCCGCCTTCGAAGCCATTCATAGTCTGGCTCACCCGGGTGTCCGCGCAACGGTACGGGATGTATCGAGGCAGTTCATCTGGCCCGGTCTACGTAAGGACATCACCGCATGGGCACGCGCCTGCCTACCGTGCCAACGCTCCAAGGTCGCGCGACACAACCGCGCAGAGCTTTCCCGCTTCCAGACCACGGAAAGTCGATTCGAGCACGTGCACGTCGACATTATCACGCTGCCCCAGGTAGGAGAATACCAGTACTGCCTTACCATCATCGACCGATTCACCAGATGGCCAGTAGCTGTTCCTCTCAAGGACATCTGTGCGGAAACCATCGCCAGGGCCTTCACATCGGCTTGGATTGCGGACAAGGGATGTCCACTCACCATCACCTCGGACCAGGGTACCCAATTCGAGTCAGCACTCTTCGCCGCACTCGCTCAGGCCTCGGGGGCCACCAGGATCCGCACCACACCTCATCACCCTCAGGCCAACGGCATGGTAGAAAGGTTCCACCGAACACTCAAGGCAGCACTAATGTGCGCTCGAGCTCCTTGGCCCGACGCACTTCCTCTTGTGCTACTCGGCCTACGGAACGCGTACAAGGAGGACCTACAAGCCTCGCCGGCAGAGATGGTCTACGGCACAACGCTTCGCATTCCCGGCAGTTTCTTCACGCCCAGCAGTTYACCCGTCGACCCGACCTCCTTCGTCGGCCAGCTACGGGAACTCATGAAGACACTAAGTACCACACCGGCAACGGACCACTCGCGCCACCGCCCGTTCTTCTTCAGGGACCTCCGAACATGCTCGCACGTTTTCCTGCGAGTCGACACGGTCAGGAAACCGCTCGAACCTCCTTATACAGGACCACACCRAGTCATCCGCCGCATCAATGACAAAGTGTATGTCATCCTGGTGAACGGCGCTGAAAAGGCCGTGTCTACAGACGCCTTGAAACCAGCATACCTRGACACCTCGGACGACCACCCGTCAGACGCACCCACTCATTCGCCTGCTCCGGAGCTGTCGACATCCGCCCAGACTCCAGAGGATCTGGACCGGGCACCGGCTCTCACCACGACGCAGTCTTCGGCACCGCCTCCCCCGTCGTCAACTTCATCGTCCTCACCACTGCCAGCACCTGAAACTCGGCTAGTGACTCGGGACCCACCTCCGGCGTCCAGATCTCTCATCGTCTCGCCACCGCCCTCCGCCAAACCAGGCACCATCATGCCTAGCAGCGGAGCGCTCAGACAGAAGCATCGGCCCAACACAGTGCTGTCAGATCGTGGGTAAATCTTACCCTCTCCCTGTGCCACTGGGATTGCACACAATGAAAGTTTTCCATGTCCGTGTGTTTGGGATTTCGAGGAAAGCCGAGTGTAACCGAAGTTGGCGGTTGGCCACGAAGTGGCACATTATGAAAGCGACTCGTGTCCATGTGTTCGGACGAC